AATTTAAAATATTACTCCTAACGTACAAAAGATCTCAACAAACAAGCTCCATCTTATATCAAAGATTTTATTGTTTTATCAGCTGCTCTTGAATTTCACTGAAATTTAAGCGATTTAGTAATACTTTATGATCTCATTTATATTGGAATAATACTGTAAGTACCAATGAAATAATGTGATACTCTATGAAAAAAAATTGTAAGGTTGTTAAAGCAACATTTGTAATTCATACTGTGGTAAAATGTACTTTAAACTTACCTCAAAAAAAGCCACGCCGTGCTGTTGGATCAGTAAACTGGAGTCTGGTTTGTTCCTGCAGTACGTCACATACATGTGGAACTTATCAGCCTGAAGACATAACCATAGACACATGCACTTAAGTTCAGCATGTAAAAACATGTTTATATATTAATTGAGCATCAGCCAAACCACTGTGCTTACCCAGGTAACAAAGCAGTGTCCTACATCTTCAGGAAGCTGTTCATAGTTCTCCAGTTCCTTCAGGAAAATGCTGCAGACACAGAGAACTGCATTACCACAGGGTGGATCTCATATGAAATCTGCAGATCTCTTTAATGTGTGCCTCTGATGCACTGCAGTAATAAGATTTATTGAGATGTTTTAGACATCAAATTAATAATGCAGAATACTGGGAAGCAGTCCTGCTCCACTCTGGATTCAAACGTCAGTAGAATATACTCATAAATGTTGTTTCACTTTATACCACATGTATTATATAATATTTGTTATATTGTGCTTTAATCACTGAAAAATAGTAGATGTCCTGAATGTTTATTTTTAAATGATTAATGTTATTTGAGCACATGTATTTTTACGGATGTATTTGGTGGTACCTGTTGTGAAACTCATAGATGTCCTGGATGTTCCCAAACACAGTGTCATCCTTGTTGTTGAGACCAGATGGGACGTCCTCTGAGCCACTTGTCATCTCCCACAGGTATGTCTGCAACAAGATCATGACCACAACAAAGTATTAAGCAGTGCAGAAGATGAAGTACTACATAAATCTTTTTTTTTTTTGCATTTTTGTGTGAAACCACCAATCCTGAGATGTACCTCTATACATTCCTGCAGGTCTCTGACGTAGACTCTCTCTGTCTGAAGAAGCTCAGCCATGATGTACCTGAACACACACACACACACAAGTGTTATTTACTAACACAGTACTGTTGATGGTGGCAGTAACACAGGTGAGACTCACTCCTTTTTGCGGGCGGAGCGTCTCTTCTCGTCGCTGACTTGGTGACTTGGGTCAGAAAGGTTGACCTCAGGGTCTGAGTCAGACAAACTGTTGGGGATCAACTCCAGCTCCAAATCCTTATTGTCCTTAAAAAACATAGAGTATTCACTTATCAAAGCCTGAGCAATCACAGGAGTTCTAGCACTGTTTTATTAATACTCTTTATAATTTACAGTTTTAAAGCTTGAAAATGTTCAGTTTTTGGTTCTCTAGTTTCCCTCACCTGTGAGCTGCTCCCTAGAGCAGTCTCCAGCAGGTGGCGGTACTGTCCCATCCTGACAGTAAAGTCGCGGTAACGTTTGTCCACTGTGGACACGCAGCGGCGGAGCTCAGTGCGGTGAGCGTGGCCTTTAGCCAGCATGCTCTCAGCCAGCTGAATCAGCAGGTGAACCTTCTCCTGTGTGTGCTGAGATAAATGTTGTCAAGATCTGTCAGGTTTCAGGTTTATTCTGTCACTTATCCTGGTTAAAATCAGAATATGAAACACAACCAAAGAATACAACAATTCTTTGTTTTTCATCAGATTTTCCATCAGTCTTCTGCTGCTCAGATCTTAAGAAATTTGCTGAACTGCATCCTGGGTTCAAAATAAACACTTGCATTTTAGGGTGTAACAAGATTTAGTCGCACAAGATAAAACAACACAGGACTCCCGTCAAGCAGAAAACTGTCTTGCAGACCAAAAACACCCGTCTTGTGACTTAGCCTGGTGAAATTATCACTGTAGATTTCTCCACCACTTTAAATGGTTTGTGTGACAGCAGTTTAAACAAACATGTCAGGCACTCAGACCATGCGGCACACTCCTTAAGCCTTTTTACAGTTATTAATGCACATGCCCAAAGTCAGTAATTTTTGATGCATTTAGTCTACATAGTTTCATGTTTACTTCCAGTTGGCTGAAATATCTTCATATTTAATGTTTGTTTCTACCGAAGTTACCTATGCTCTATAGTCATTCTGACACTTGTGTTTTATCACAATATAAAATACCAATAAAGCTAATTTATAAATATATTTGTATATAAAAGTCAATAGAAAAATGTCTATGTATTGATATCTATATTCCCAATTGGAGAGACAGGTTTGTTTTTATATCCCAGTTGTGACCATGGATAATTTTCTGGTAATTTTATAGCCTAACTTTTACCATTTACCCTAAAATTAACCTCGCAGGTTTACCCGACACTAAACCTACCCTAAGCTCAATTCACACCTTGGTCCTAAACCAAAACCCGAACCAGAAATTAGCATCTGTACCCGTGAGGACCGGGCATTGATCCCCACGATTCACCTTCAGTCCCCATGAGTTTGCCTTTTTGGAAAATGTTTCCCATGAGTAGCTTATAGGTAACTATAAGAACTATAAAAAGGTCGATGTTGTGAGCGTCTTCCCCTGCAGCATCTGCAGATATGTGCTGAGAGGAAGAGTTTGTGTTGCATATTTATTTAAAACAGACAAAGACTTAATTCAGTCTTTATGCTGTGATTTGTCGAAAAGAAAGTATCGTTTTCTTTTTGTTATTTAGTATTTAGTATTGAGGTGCTCTGCCTGCACTGTTCAATGGGTTTTAGGAGACTCATCCTGTAGAATAAGTGCCTATTTATGCCCCCCACAAAACAAACCTTAGCAGAAATACAAAATTCTCTGTGTTGGTTGAGCAGCTCCTGTGTCTCGGGTATTGTTGTCCCTGGCGAAGTATGAGTGGTCAGGTAGTGGTCACCTGACTGCTGCAGCCAATCAAGAGCCTGCAATAAAATCAGAGGCTGTTAGAGACTGTTGTTTCAGGCATATTAAAGGCAAATTATAGTTACTTTCATCACTGATTATGCTGCAGATTGTTCTTTTAATCAGTTAGTAAACTAGTCCATGAAACAGAAGGAAACTGTGTAAATTATGTCCTGGGAAAAAATGAAAAATCCCAAACTATTTACCACAATAAAAACAAAAAAGCAGCAGGTTCTTTTAAATCTTAAAGGCAGATAGACACATTAATATAATCGAAGTCAAGATTTTAAAATGGGCATTGTTGATGCAGCTGTCTACCTGCTGGGCATGGCTTTGGAACATCAGGTACTGCTGACACTGATCCAGTCTACGTTTTTTCAATGTCCAGAAATGAAGGACTCTGTTTTCCCTCTGGAGTAGCTCACTGAGAATACCTGAAAGCAAATACACCTGAATCAGTTAAAGAATGGTCCAAATGTCCACAAATACAACTCAAGTAACTGTGGTGTCCCTCAAGGCTCTATCCTGGTTACACTCTCTGTTTCTGTTTAACAATAGGTGCATATATTTTTGTTTATGTTCACCTTTGACCTGTTGCTCTGGCACCCTGGAGTGCCCAGTGACCTCAGAAACACCAGTTACCCCCGAAACAGTGACATTATGGCCAGAGATGTTTGCCATGGTGACGCTGTTGCGATGAATGTATTTGAGGAAAACCTCAGCATTTCTTCTTGCTAGAGTGCATGCCTGTTGCAAAGGGGATAATTTTATTAATTAGATCAAAATCAGATAAAGTTTATCACTGAAACTGGGCTGAAAAGAATGATCAGAACTGCATCACAGCATCAAAGCCTATTAAGGGTACCTATTAAGCCTACTTAGGAAAGACATTAAGAGTATGAAACAACCAGTTTTTAGGTCTTAACCAAAATAAAACGTCTTTGAAACCCTGACAGATGAACCAGGATGTGGCAGTTCATTAACCTAAATTTAAACCTAAATAATATAAACCTAAAGTTCAGAGATATTAAAGTGTCCACCTTCAGGAATGCCTCCTTCTGTTCCATGTGTTTGCTGATGAGCGGCAGCAGCTGCTCAGGCTGCCTCTCTCCTCCTCCACACCAGTCCTCCTCCCTGCGGTACTCCTGCTCCAGACTCTCAAGGACGCCACATACCTGGAACCACAAGCAAGTAGACACCAAACATAGTAACAGGTAGTTGATCCATGGACTGTTTCACAGATACAAAAATCTTTGCTCAATGCTTTAGTATCACGGTCCAATTTGGTTAGGTTAGGCATGGGACCTGAACAAGTGTGAAAATGTGTTGTGGAGATTACTGTGCCATGTATATGTGTAACAATGATTGCAGATACATGAAAAAAGTTTGAATATACAGAATGATAACTTCAGATTGGGGTGGGGGGTGTTGAAACCGGACTGTTGGCCGAGAGGACAGGCAGAATGTGGGGTTGAAATGACAGCACCTGGAGTGCAGAGGAGCTGGGAGGGAGGATGGGGAGAGGTAGAGAACTTATTCCAGCTTATTTCTAGAGGCAGAGCAGGTTAGTAGATAGCTATTTAATTTTATTAATTGTTTTTTAACGTCCTACACACTCTGAGACGTAAAATAAAATTGAAGCTGAGTGTTTTAAAAAAAATCTGTGAGATGGCCCTATATGTCCATATATCTGCAATTCTGAGGAAAATCCATCTGATTTAGGGACAGTCTGTACAACTTGAAATGTGTGCATATGATCACTACCTGTAATGTCTCTGGCAAGTGATTTGATATTGTGAGCTACTATAGTAATGAATACATTATATTTATAGGGTAATTATTGCACAACAGTATAACCTTACCTCTTTGCATCTCCAAATCGCTAGTTTAGGCAATAATCCCAAGATTTGAGTATCATATGTCCTTTGTCTGATTATAAATTGGTACATCACAAACCAAAAGAAAAGCTTTAAGCTGTGCAACAGCCCCTCACTGACTTCACTGTCGGTTGCCCCCAAACTCTCCCACAAAACACTGAGTGCTGTATCCAGTAGGAGGCACTAAACAGTATCTGCAAAACTATCCATTGTGTGAGTGTGGTACCCCCTGTGGACCAGGTGCAGGCTGAGACAGGTTTTACCTGCTGAGATGTCCGGTAGAAGGCAGCGGATGCATTGACCAGTTTGAGTCTGTCTTCTATCCTCAGCATCAAAGTCTGCCAGTGAAGCGCCACTGTCTGGGCACAAGCTCTCACTGCATCGGGATCATAGTGGCCAGACCTGTTGAGAGAGGTCAAAGGTCACAGAACTGATACAGTAACTGTCTCTCCAACAAACACCTGGTATTCATAGAGTTGATACAAAATACAGCTGAATGTTAAACTATCAATTATTTCTAGTTAGTACAACGGATCAGTGGTTTGCACTGATGCCTCACAGCATTCATTTCTCTGGGTACTCTGGCTTCCAGTGGTGGGCACAGTTCCCCTAAAGCACCAAAGCACTAATAGGGGAACTAATTTCCTGATTAGTTCTTTAGGGCTTTTTCTAATTTTAAAATTTATTAGTGGATTAGCACTTGATAAATTTATAGGCTAAATTTAGAAGCACTACCTGAGGTCTATAAATGTTATTGGTCAACATTAATGTTAACAGCTGAAGGTGAAAGCTGTCACACATTTTGTTCACATGTGTCACTTATCCACCAGGTGACAATATATGAACCCAAATACGGCTGTATTTTTTCTGCTCTCTGTTGAGATTAATAATCAGATATTTGCATTAATCAGGCAGAAACTCACCTCACTAGCAGCTCTGCTCTCTGTTGCAGAGCCAGAGCCACCTGATGAGTCCTCTGCAGGGAGTCTGCATGCAGCAAAGCCTGCAAAAAACACCATTCTTCACTTTTATTATTCCAGGTGGAGAAATCTGAGAGGATGAAACTGTCATGTGTGTCTGGTTGCCTTGGCAATGTGTCTACCGTGATGGAGTGACAAATCAGCCTCATCCTCAGGATGAAGGCTTCTTTACTCTGACTTATCCAGGAGTTATCATGAGAGATTAACGTGAACTGCTTTGTTGCCTGTATTTAGACTCACTTTGCCTGATGACGATCTGATTCAGAAGGCCTAACAATAGCAATAACTGGGAAATTATTGTTACAGAGTGTAAATTAGGCCAAAAAAAGTTAATTATTTGTGGATATACTTAAATGGAAACAAAAACATTTTACATGCCCTTTTTTTTCTAGCATAAAATGTAACTCTGAAAATCCTATTTTATCACTTTTTAAGTATTTTAATTACGTCAAGCTTGCAAAATTCCTGTTCATTGGAGAAGAGTTTTGTTTAATCTTTTCTAGTTTTGTGTTGCGTACTGGGCAGATAAAATACTTTTTTTTCTTCACTCTGAACCCTTTTCATTCATGGCATGATTTGTTTGTTTTGTTTTTATTTCTTATTTTACTATATATAGATTGTTTTGCTTTATGAAAGAAATAAATTTTAAAAAGTATAGTTTCATTGTTCATATGCTTGTTTTCGGAGTCGCCTAAAGGAGTTTGTCTTGATGAAGTAAGTTTTGTCTGTTTTTAACATCATGGATGGATCATCTGCATTATTGCTCTCGTTGCTTCCCTTTAATGGGAAATTTTGTCTTTGTTGACACTAAAGAATCGATCCAGAGATGTACATCTTAAATTAATCAATGTAAAAACATGCAAAACTCTGATTTTTTTTACTTCTTTTTGTAGAAAATTATCTCTGAATTGTGCTAAATATGTCTATGTTTGTTTGTTTTGTTGGACTGTGTGTGTGCAGTGACCTCTATGGCCTGTTGGAGGCGCTCATGCTCTCTCTGCAGCTGCTCAGCTTCTGACAGACAGCTGGAATTCAACATGCAGGACGACAGCATCACCTCGCCCTCAGAGATCCAACCCAACACCTGAGACAGACACACACAGGTTGGGAGCTGTGACCTGGTGCACATGTGTGAGCTCACCTGGATGAAGGTGGTACCTGTTTGACCTGACTCTGCAGGTGCCTCAGCTGCAGGTTCTGCTCCAGGTGTGCATGTGTGTGATCCGCAATCTGCTGCAGCTCCTTCTGTTTGTCCTGCAGGAGGTGCTGCAGCTCCTCCACCTGAGAGGAGAGGCCTCCCTCCACCTCGGACAGCTCGATGCCTGGCGCACACACACACACACACACACACACACACACACACACACACACACACACACACTTTATAAAACAGACACAGTAACTGTTAAAGTGAGCCTGTAACCCTGATCATGTGTGTGTCTGCTCTGATGTGTGTTTTCATGTCTGTGTGTGTGTCTCCATGGCAAATTCAATACACTGGTTACCATGGGGACCAGCTGTGTGCTTCAGAGAGCAGTTTCCATAGCAACCCTGTCCCCCTTTTCCCCCTCTCCCATTATCCTCTTTGCCCCCCGTTCTACCCCTAATATCACCAGCGTGTTGAAGAAGGAGCCAGATAGATGCTGCACTGTAGGGAAAATAATGTTTTTATCTTTTTATCATCTTTATTCTACTTATTTTTATTTTTATAATACATATAAATGGACTGTACCTTTATAGCACATTTCTATACAACTAGGATACTCTAAGTGCTTTTCACTACAATCTGTCTCCTCGTTCACCCATTCACACATTCATTCAGCACGCTACTAGATCTATCTACAAATCTAACACAGATAAATCAATCTATAGAGATTAATCACTGCTCTATATCACACTCATACACTGATGGGACACACATCACAGGCAGTGGAGGTTCACTGTCTGGCCCAGAGACACTTCCACATGTGACAGAATAGCAGTGGAATCGAACTGCCAACTCTTGCATTAGAGCAGGCGTTCTCAAGCCATTTGGGACCCCTTACTAGGGCAAAAAAAATTCCAAGGACGCCCTCATAAACCCCATGCTGTTTTAAAAGATAATTTATTGTCATTTCAACCCCCAAATGTCATGGGAATATATATTTTTATTAAGTTTATTATGTTTGTTTTATTAGTTCATTGTTCTCCATAGGCCTGGGCCATATGGCCCCCAAAAAGAATCTCTGATTTTTTCATCTCAAATTCGATTTTCAATGTTAATTGATTTTGCTTCCCACTTAACAGAGTGCCTCTATTTCAGGCGTCGAAACAAATTTGTTGTACTCCTGCTTTTTGTAGCAAGAGCCTTCAAATGGATTTAGCATTGAGGTGTTCGTTGCTCCAAGTCCGAGGTTGAAAAAACAAACCAGTTCCAGAAAACTGTAGAAACAGTGCCTTTTTTGAGAAGTAGATCCTCTCTGCTAGCTGCCATATTGTCATGTCATGTACCAGGCATCTTGAGGGACAGGTGGGATGATCTCTGAACTACAGAAGTGCACTGGTGGGAAAAAAAATCTAAATTTTCCCAAAATTAAATCTTTATAAATGGCAAATTTGAATTAATCGATTAAATCGATTTATCGTCCAGCTCTAGTTCTCCATGCATTTTTAAAAATAAAAACCAAATTACCAATTTAGTGAAAATTTTTGAGGACCCCCAAGATACCTCTCACGGACCCCTGGGGGTCTGGGGACCCCAGTTTGAGAACCTCTGCATTAGAGGAACGACTCTCCTAACCACTCAGCCACAGCCGCCCCTGTTGAAATATTAAAACGTTATACTGTGGCTAGTTTGGATTCATCCCTTTACCTTGAAATCCAGATTGACCTGTCTCACAAAAAAACACACCTGATCAGATTTTTGTTTCTGAATTCAACGTAGTGCTGTCTTTGACCAACAGAGCCTCTTTAGAAGCATTAAAGTACCCTCCTCCTTCACAAAACTATGAGAGGAAACAAAAAACTAATGAAGGACAGTTAAACCTCACAAATGATCTTTGGACATGTGTGTCACTGTGATCACTCAGAGAACACAGATCCTTCAAGTTCACTTAAGAACCTCTAAAACTGCTTTAAAATATCCTGACACCACTAAAAGATTAATGTAACCCATAAAACTGAGATTGTAATTCCTTGAAAGTTCTTCCCTTTGAAATACTAAAGCAGCAAAACCTTTGCAGATTCAAACCTTTGACAACAGATCTCTTCAGTCAAACTTATAATCCACTGCCTTTTTTTAACAGTGTTTTCATTGTTTTCTTTGAAAGCACTTCCATCATTCTAAGAAATTATTGATGGGCTTTGAACACGGTACTTGAAACTCTCCCTTTTGACAATTTATTTTAACCATTACTTCTATAACCCCTTAAATAATCTCTGAGACCAGAAATGGTGTGCCCCATGGCTCAGTCCTTGATTCTGATGTTTTTGTTTAGATAAACAAGCAGTATGTTCTGTCATTAAGAAACTGGTGTGTGTACAAAGAGGAAACCATACTTTACATTGTTTAATGTGATAGCTTCATGCTATTTTTAGACCAGCAGCAGTGGAAGCTCTAAAAGACCAGACTGAACAATGAGACTCTTACCTGATGCCTGAACCTCTGACATATACTGCTGAAGGTCATGACCTTGCTGGATGACCTCATAGATCATATTGTTCATAGCCAGCCTTCGCTCCATGTGCCTGCAGACCAATCAGATCATCAAAACAAGCTCGCCAAAACATTTCTTTATTCAAGAAGATTCAGCACACTGTCCTCTTTACCTATGAATACGTTGTTGAGCTAACGTTAGTGCTTCAGGGCTAGCCTCCACCAGGCGCGACTGGCCCAGAGCTAGTTTGTCCTGGGCTAGCTGGTCCTGGTTTGTTTCAGCTACCCGTGGAGACGTTATCTTCTCACTGGAAAAATCCTGGGACTGTTTTTGGAGATCCTGTTTCCAGGCATCTATTTCACCTGTCACCTAGAAAACAAACGTACGAACAGCAAATCCAGCTTTGATTCAATGGGACCTTCACTCAGGCTATTTTTAGAACACTAGTCACGTGACCACGTCCACTCGACACTGGTGCAAGTACAAACTCTGCAGCAGCTCTATTGATTTCAATGGATCTGGGCTGGTCCAACTGTGTTTAAACTTAAATAAGTTCAGGAAAACAGTGTCAAACTTCAACGGGAGGACCACAAAACATTGTGATACAGTAACAGTGACTCAGGATACAGCCATGATCCTAACATGAAAAGAGTATTTTCTGTCACTTTTCACAAGATAATATGCAGCTTAACAGCTGGATTCCAGCGATGGAATGAACTCACTTTGAAAAAACAGGTACTTAACATCTGTTCCAAAAATTTTATTGGAGGTAAAATATCCTGGACCACCCGGATCCTATTTCTGCACTTTCTGTCAATAAACATCTACAGTAAACCTTATTGTTATTATTATTACTGCAGCCTACTGCTAGCTTTACTCATATGGCGTCTATGCTAGCCTCATATACAGCGCTCTACTTCAGTCAGTCACGCATACAACGATAACACTGTACTTACACAAATTTAAAGTATCACAATTAAGAATCTTTAAGTGATGCAGAAGCGGAAGCTCGAGTGATTAAAAATACACATGCACACATTATAAATATGGCGCGATAAGCTATAAAACGCTGGTAATAACACCAACCTTTTTAACAATTCTGCTCATTTCCAAGTCTGTAGAAGACCTCAACCCTCCAGACAACATTTCAAATGAACTTTCCTATGATTCCTGAAGTTGTATGAGTCAATATTTGCACTAGGAACGTCTTTTCTGTGGTATTATCACTGAATCTGCATAGAATCCACTCTGATTGTTTGATCATTTGAGAGAGGGGCTGATAATTTATATAAATGATATGTGGGATGTCATGAGTGAAGGTCCCCATTCAGAGAGAGAAAAAATGAATAACGTAGGGGAAAAGCAAAATTAAACTAACCTCTAACGTGCACTGATGAAGAATGCGGAACTGCAGGAAGATGTCCAGTCGGATCTTCCTCTGGTGAAAAAGCTCCTCAAGTTGAGCGTGAGACTCCTCCAGCTGCTGTAAAACTGACTCCACGTGTGCCACAGAGCTGCCCTGGGGCCTGTAACAAACACATCCACACATTACAGATGCTTGAAAATAACTGACCTGAATCAGGATCCCAAACCTGAAAACAAACTCTAAAACCCAAATTACATCAACGTTCACTTCACATCACGCTTTACAGTTACTCAACTCAGTTCAACAGAGCCACTTCACATAACTTGGTTAAGCAAATCCAACACATCTGTTTTTAGAGTGAACTTTAAAATAACCTGTTAACATCTGCAAAGTCTAGGTGTGTAGAAAACAAATGCATCAAGCATTCTACTTTACGCTGGAAATAACGGCATGTATTTTCCATATTCTAGATTTTGGGTACATTAATTAATTTAAGAAAACCTGAAAACTGATGCATCAATACTCCATCATGATTTAGAATCCAGGAGCTCTCACACATTTTATCCAGAAATATAGAGCATTTATGAAGTTGTGTGCAAAGATAATCTGAAAACAAATTAACTTTAATATTATACATTATGCTAAACACAAAGGCCTACAAACACATAATCTGTTCATTCTGTAGCTATAATTTGTAAAATAATCTTGAATGGTTTGCTCCAGTAGCACATCAGAATGACCAGGTTCCCCAACATCAATAAATATAATAAAAAATATAAATAAATAATCAGGCACAGGTGTGTATTAGGGATGCATGATATACTCTATCTATCTATCTATCTATCTATCTATCTATCTATCTATCTATCTATCTATCTATCTATCTATCTATCTATCT